GTACAAAGGTCAAGAACAAAGTAAATTGACTCAGAGAGCAGCTATCAGCTATATTTTGATAGAACAAAAAGGTACTTACCATCTTTTGCACTGCTGTCTGGAAGTGATGGCAGCGTTCGATCCATCTTGAGCAGCTGTTTGCTCACTTCTTCTAGCTGGGATGCGTTTTTTAAGAGTCTGTAACACTCCTGGCTGCTCTTTCCCAACAAGTTGGCCACTTGATCCAGTTCATATTCATTAAGGCTCATTAACTGCCAGGAGCTGGCAATTTGCTCTCTTAATGACGAGGAAAGAAGTGCTTCTGGGTTTTTAACTCCACATTCCATTGCAACCCGTCGGAAACAATCCAACGCTCGGATGAAGGATGGACCTTCAGTCCGTGCAAAAAGGTATGGGTTTGTTTTTGACACACCCGCTCGTTCTCTATTTTCAACAAGCAAGTCAATAGACAAAACCATGCGTTCTGTTAAAAGAACCAGCATGTTCCTTCCATACTGACCTTCTAATTCCAACCTGGTCAAAGCGGAACCAAGTTCTAGCTCCAATTTTGTGCTTTTCCTTATTTGATCTGCAGAGGGCACAAATATTCCTTTGCTCTTTCTCTGAATGTAAGTTTGCAAAAGCAGTCTACCAATATTTCCTACCCTTCCTCTGTTGAACAGACAGACATCAGCTAAAGTTGCTTCACTGAGCTTTTTCCACGTTGACAAACTAGGACTTTCTTTCAGCTCCTTTCTTGTTTCGTCTCCTTCCTCTGTGATAAACCTGTGAAGTTTCATCAAGTCTTCTGTCACAGTTGATTTGTCCACTTCCACTTTTTTGACTTCTTGCTTTAGAGAGGAGGCAAGTGTTTTGCGAGAAAAACACTCATTCCATTTTGTATCAAGAAGTTGTATGAATTTTTTCACTTCGCTTTCTGATTCACTGTCCTCCGTCATGCGACTCTCACCAAACGCAATTTCTGCAGCTCGTTTCAAAGAGTATCCAATCTTCGTGACAAGGGAAATGCTTTTAAACTTACTGGAACTGGGGTCAAATCCACTAATCCTTTTGACCCCTTGAACAGCTAATTCAAATCGGGATGGCAGACATATTTCATGCAAGTACTTTACACTCCTGTCCAGCTCATTTACGGCAAGCACAAATCTACCCAGTTCCCTCATTTTTTGTGCAATGTAAGCAAACTGAGACTTGTCATGCTCATATTTAACAGACAATGCATTGCCATATTTACAAATAAGCGGGTCGTTTCTGATATGCCTCGAGATGTCATCTTGATGCATGATGTGGATGATTTCCTCACAGCCTCCAGTTAAGAACTCTGACATTGGAAGCAGCCGGGAGGCAGCACTGTGACCTCTCGTTCTTTTTGTTTTCTCAGTAGATTTATCGTCTCCTTTTCTAGCTTTACATGACCTTTCGTGTCTCCATAAATCAGTTTTGCGATAAAATGCAAAACAATGTTGACAAGGTAAGAAGTCACGAACTGATATGCTGGGTTTCTTGACCTGTTTCTTGGTCACAATTTCCCCCTCGCCACTTTTAAGAACTTGGCAATTATGTTCATAATCTCCTCTATTGCGAATTTGATCAAGCAATGTCTGTCTGACTTTGGAGCCTTTTGGAAAGTGTATTGCATGGGCAACATCCGTTTCCTCCGCATGTTTCCTTTCCAAATGCTTTGCAAGTTGAGTGAAAGCCATTTTGCAGTATAAACAGAAGTGTTTCTTGCATGACTCTTTCTTCTCTTCATCCAATACGCAAGGTGTCATTTGATGCAATTTCTTACAAGTCCTTAGACTTGATCTTGTTGGTTCTCTCTTTTCCACAGTTTTTGTGCAGCGCCGTAATCTTTTAACCATTTCTTTCGTACTTGATGCAGATAGAACCATATCTGTAACACCTCCCCCTACATCTCCTGGCTCGTCGCCTGAGTCATTTGTTTGCTTTAGGGGGTTTTGTTTATTTGACAGCACTTGATCCGAATGATCAAAATTCAAACTAATTTTACTTGACAAACCACCCATTGTGTCATCTGACGTCTCGTTGTCTTCTCCATCCTTTTGGTCTTCCTTTCCTCGACTTTTCTGCTTGGTAGGTGAACCGAATGCTGCGTTTTCTGATTCAGTAATATCCTTATCATTTTTTTGATCATCCAAATCTTGTGGGATATTTTCTTTTGCAGTGCCTGCTTCGTTTCTTGCACTTTCAGTGTTAGAAGTCAATCTAAGAGCATCACTCGAACTTCTCTCTTCAATCAAGTTCCTCTCTCCTTCAAATGACTTCTTCTCACCAATAGTACTCGCCTGTAAAAGAACAAGTATATGTAAGACTCAGAGCCAAATCAGATCCCATGAATAATTTTGGTAAATTTGAAACACAGACTCTTGGAAAAAATGTAGAAGGGGATGCTTAAATTTGTTTTTAATTTTGGTAGATAAATGGTTCTGACATTTTTTAATCATTCATATATTTTTTTTTACTCCTGTTTTAGCACATCAGCACCACGGCAATGCCCCCAACCAAGATCCAGGCCCATTCAAACGAGTCAATATGATGGCCCAAGGTTTAGTAACAAAACTCCCTCCTGACACCTCAAGTCTCACGTACAAAAACCACATGTGACCCATTCAAGTATAGTTAATGGCTTTATTGGATCAAGCAGCGTTTCGACATCATAAATATCTAACCAAGTATATGTAGTAATGGGGTGTTTGATGAAATGCTACATGAAGAAAACAGAATGTGCACTGACACTAGACCTACATCCCTGGTTTGAAATAAACAAATAATTAAAGATAAATTTTTGCTGGGCATACCAGTATTTTTACAGAGCTCACTCGTAATATAACACATCATGGCTTCATGTAAAATATGTTAATACCATGTCCAGCCATTCACATAATAACAGTCACTGTGAATTTTGTCATTTATGCTTTCAAATGTTTGATTTAAAAGAAAATGTAATAAACGGTGGCTACAGGTGCATGCTGTGCATATTGTGTTATGGTAATGATGATGACACATATTCTGAAAGCATACATTATGTACCTGATTCAAAGAGTTCATCTTGTCCAAGTGCTTCATGTCTTCAGTGTGTTCAATCACTGGCTTGTTCACTGCAATGTAAAATGATATCACAGTCTCTAAGGTGCACACATTACAATTTACATAGCAATTAATGACTGTTAGGTCTAAGTTAGCACAAATTTAAAGATCCATTTTAGAATTCAAAATAGTGCAGGGTGGTGGTAGATAGGATTGCATGCATCGAGATTTTAACCACATAAAATACAACTTCATTAACAATAACAATAATTTATATACACTTATAATGGCTCTCTGTCCTACTGAGCCTTGAATTAAGATGGTAAATTAAATAAAAATGCTCCTGAACTTGCTGAAAATACCCAGGAATAAGAGTTAATTTAATCACATCCACCTCTGCCATATTCTTTCTACTGTAATACTGTAGTTCAGTCTGAAAGTACATAACATGGCTCTGTAACTCAAAGCTACACAAGTATAATTCAGCTTTAAAACCCTACTACTTACAACAGTGTAGGCTCTGCTATATAAGAAAACTTTTATATTATACTTTATAGTATTACACTAGCATTTCTAACAAGTCATATTTATGTTTAACAGCTTTTGAGACCACATCCTTACCTGGCTTTGTTGCAGAAGGTGCTTGGAGTTCAAGAAAACATCTCAAGGAGTTGGATCATTGGTGGACAGTAAAAAGTAAAGTCTTTGGATGCGCATCTTGAAGAAAAGATTACTTGGAGCACAACACGAAAAACAAAATTGTTCTTCCATCTAAAAGCGACGTATAGTTGTCTCATTAGGATGCTTCAGACGCGTTGGGATAAGCTATTTTTTTCACGTTTTCTCAACAATATTTTCTTTTACTGCTGATTTACTAAAACATCTGAAATATCGGATACAAACTTATTATTGTAACAGACAGGGAAAATTGTTAGTTTATAAGTAGCAGTTTTATGTCATAATAAACATCTTTTTGATATTTTTGTAAGAAGGGTAAAGACTGTGCTCAACAAAGCTAATATTAGTTTATATGTTAAACACTGTTTAAAGTGTCAGATATGCTTTTAACGATAGTTATGCCTAATGTTTTCCATTTTCCATTTATTTAAAACAATGGTTCTTCTTTCGTAAAACCAAATGTAATTCTGATGCAATGCTAATTATGCATTTGTAACTGGGGGAACTATAGGGGAAAATATTAATGTCTATAAGTGTCATATGTGACAGACATAGCGTGATAGACCATAGTCACCAACTGAATTCATATATATTTTTAATAACAATGCAATCCCTTCAAAACACACACGCACACACTCACTCACTCTTGGGGCCAACCAAGGTGCAAGCTGTGGAATTCTTTAAAATGTGTTTGTGTCTTAGATTTGAGTGCTCAGAGTCTTGAGATATATAAAAATCAAAAATATATTGAAGTAGGGCAGAAACTAGCGAGGAAATAAAACAGACAGCTGGGTAATGTTTATTAGAACATACCTCTTGGTCCAGATTGTAGTCCTCTTTGGAATTAAGTGCCAGTTTTACAGCCATGTAATCTCCACTTTTTACAGCATCTCGCAACTCATCTGGCAAAAACAGGTGAGGAACAAATGAAGTTTAGAGAAAGTGGACATTTAAAGATCTCACGCTCATTTACTTTTTCTTTCTTTTAAATGCCTATTTATTCAAATCTCATAGATCCTCCTTAAAAATGATGTGACCTACTGTGGACACAGAATTCTTTTTATTACAGTCACGGACATAAAACCGTTTTTCTCCATGTTTTTGGTAAACTGCACTCAGAACGAATAATTTGGATGGTAAACAAGTTGTGGTTTTCTCATGGCTTGTTGCAACTAAAAGCAAAAGTCTTCTAAATACCAAGATAGTCATCAGGAAACACTCACTTGGTGACAAAGGTGGACCTGACAAGATCTCATCCTCTCCGTTAAGATGTTTCTGGAAATCATCCAGAGTCATCCAGTCCAGATTAAGGTCCATTCCTAGACTCAAAGTGGCCTGGCCCTTGTCTGTAAAACACACAATGCAGAGATCATCAACTGGGATTTCACTCAGAAAATAAATCTAAAATCAATGCATTTGACAAGTGAAGTGTGAATGTCATATTTGGAGGCATTTGTTTAGCCAATCAGAAACATACCAGATTTGTCAGTGCCCTCTGGTGGGTCCTGGGTATCATCACATGCCATAAAGAGTCTAGGCTCACTGTCCTCCCTTTTCTTTCTCCTGTCATCAGAAGGGGTTCTCCGCTCCCAGCTTTGCCGCTGTGGTTCATCTGTCTTATCCTTACGCTCCCGGGTATCATCTCCAGGCTTCGATTTCGCCACAGATTCCTCTTCCCGCTCCTCGGTGTCCAGGCTGAAGCCATAACTCTGAACTGGTCGTGAAACTGACATTGAGGGTGGCAGACAAGATAAAAATACTTTTTGAACAACGTGTCATAAAAATCTAAGACATCAAAAATAAAAAAACCAAAAAAAAACAGCTTGTTCTTTTATTGTTCCTATTAGGAGTAGACCTAATACTCACTTATAACCCTGGCCATATGTTGGAATAGAAGAAAAAAAGGTTTGAAATCTCAGGGAAGCCCATACATGTCAATTTAAAGAATAAAAACGTGCAAACATGGAGAGTGTGCGCGTTTGTGCACACGCACTCAAATGCTCTTGTTGCAGTTCCTGGTTTTATGCAAGTTTGCTAACAAAGAACTACAGTCTGTCACGTTTAATTAAAAATACTAATAATGAATGAGCTAAACATAGCTATTTTTAAGCTATTTGTGATTACTCTGATCGTCACCAAGTCCTGAGATTCCTGTCAATCACTGCGACACACATTTTGTCTTCTCAATTAGAGCTGGTCAGCAGACGAACTATATAAAATACACAATAATAAATAAAATAATAACTTTTGATTGTTTGACAGATCAAATATTTGACCAACACATCTGATTTTAAAGAAAAGACGTTTCTAATGCTGCACGTTATGCTCCTGACATGCAGCAATCTGTTACATTTACTTTAAATCTTTTTACAATACGAGGTGCTGGATGATACTTTTTAATAACAAAATGCTGCTAATTTAAACCCCTTTTCTATGATAACCATTTATACAGCACAGTTCTTTGTGTTCATTAAAAGGCAAACTACACCCTGGCATAAAACACTCGGGCAGGAAGGGGTTAAAGATGCAAAGACATGTAGACTTTGTTTTCACACACCATAGTCTATTAGAGCTCTAGGTTTACATTTCTGTGATCTGCTCTCATCTGGGGCATGTACTATGAAGCAAGTTTAACATATTCAGGATCTATTTTCCTCATCTGGCTTCACTAACAGAAAGATCAGCAATCGCACTAAGAATTCACTCGAAGATGCTTATCAACTCGATGGGGATTCCCAATATGGCTATAAGCATGTTCACATAAAAGTGAAGCTGCTGGCACCACAGGACCAATGACAAGCATCGAATTAGCCTGCTGATAGCAGAGCGGCTGGTTTTACAAAGGAAGGATAAAAACATAATATTAGAAAATATCAAGAGGTGAGACACAGAATAGAGACTGAAAGCAACACAGCTGCTGTAGATAAATAAGAGGTGTGTTTGAAGGGAGCAGTTTAGTATTAAAAGTGCTGTTTGAAGGTGCTTTGGTCACCTTTGGTCACTGGAGCTACTATATTGATAAAGTTTAGCTTATTTGAAGGCAGGAGGAAAAAAAGCTAGCAAAAATGCTGACTTTGTAACTTAACAGAGTATCACAGCTGTGGGAGAATCTGACAGATTACAGTTTTTATTCCAGAAAGACAAACGCTTTAGGTGCTCTTACAAAGTTTTAGACTATGATTACTATCCGTGCACTGGGGTCTCAGCGATCTCGCAGGAATGGTGACACCGTTTTCTGGAGAACTGACTGATTGGTATATGGTGGTATTTTATACCCTGGTATAAAAATTAACCATCTATTTGGGTTAAACCCTCACAGGCCTCTGGAAGACAGAGCTGTTATTAGAGTTTTATTGTAGGGCAGTAACCTTCTTGGCCCTTTAAGGTCAATTTTTGGAGACCGTATAGCAACTAGTATTTTTTCCTGTCATGGATAAGGTCCTTTATGCCCAGCGGGATTGGTCTGAAGCCACATTGTGTTAATCTGATTCAAGTTCAAGTTTCATGCATACCATCTGATTGCTTGGGCCTCTCCGTCTTCTCCGGCTCTTGTTTCTGAACAGGAGACTCTTTGGTTGTTTTGGGAATCTTCTCAATTTTTCCCAATACCTAAGTGTTGGGACAAAACACAACAACAACAAACTGTTAACACGCTGCATTTCTTTTTTAGAGGAAAACCTCTGAGCTGCATATCCTGTTTAAAATAGCAAAGAACATCATCTGAAAGATCACGTTGTGTTTTTTTGTTCCATTTATGAAATACTGGATGACAAAGTTAAAATAGAAATAAAGTATACACCTTTGTGGGTTTGCTGCTGCTCTTCTCTGTGGTGGGTTGATTCCTGCGGGGGGCGCGATCCTTGGCCTCGCAGTTTAACAGGAACTTTTCGAAAAGGTTAGTTGAACCTGTGGTGTCCTTCTGTCCCAATATCTCGTCCTTGGTAACTTCCTCCTCCTTACTCTTGGTGACACCAACAGCTGTAACAGAGGACGAGGACGACGAGGACGATGTAGATGGGACTTTGGGTGGTGCAGACGCGCTCTCCTGCCCTTTGCTCTTTGCTTTCTTATGTAGGGTGGAGTTGTCACTGGAGTCTGATTGTAGCGCAGTATCCTCTTTTGCTTTAGAGCTATGACTCTTCAGTTTTTGAAGGCTGCTTTCTTTCTGAGCAGAATCGGTCTTTTTGTTCTTTTTGTCGTGGATAAGGTCCTTTATACCCTGCAGCTTTACTTCCCACTTCCCCTTTTTTTGTCTGGACTTGTCGTCCAAACTGGCTTTTTCCACCGATTTTGTTAAAGTCTCAGTTGATGCGGAATCGTCCATTTGGGACTCTGACGGGCCTTCGCTCACGTCATCTTCCAGCGGAGCAGCGGCCTCGTCTTCAGAGGTTTCGATCTTCCTCTCTTTCTTCCCCTTCTTTTTCCTCCCATCGTCGCCCTTTTCTTTTTTATGCTTCCCTCCCTCTTTTCCTCTTTCCTTCCTGTGTTTCTTGGAGGGAACAGGGTCATCCTCTTCCGATTCAACCACACGTTTTTTTGATTCAGTCTTTCTCTCCTTGGGTGGAGAGCTTGGGGTTGGGGCTCTGCCTTCTTCCTCATCGGTTTCTGGTGCCGGTAGGGGCCTAAACTCTTCTTTCCGCTTGTCCTTCTTCTTTTTCCTTTTTTCCTTAAGATGCGATTCTTCTTCCTCCTCCTCCTCTTCCCGGACTTTCTTCTTCTTTTTCTTCTTGACAGGTGCCTCCGTTGGTCGGTCTTTGTCGCTGTCACTTTCCGAGTCAGCATCAAACACGTCACTCTTTGGAGGCAGAGGTTTCTAAAGAGAGAACGGGAGGGGAAATATCACATTTTGGTAATAGATATTACTTTTTGACCTTCTGACTTAAGGCTCTATAATAGTTTGTCATAAGTAATTAGAGGTCAATAATACTGCCAACAACATTTTGCCCCTTCATTTTCAAAACGATGTCCAGACAGGTGGGAAAATAACATCGATAATAATCTTAATAACAGACAAAATTTGTTTTAAGTTCATCTGTTGTGCATTAGTTCTATAATCAAGAAAGGAAAGATCAGATTACTTATATTAAAAAGGCTTTAAAGCCAAAGTTACAGGCAGTTTGCTTCTGGCTTAGAAACAAAGATGTTTTCTTGCGACATTTAAAAGAATAACTATACCAACACGGGAAACCTCACCCGGCCCGGACACAGAAGACAGATCGATAACTTTAGGTATAGCGTTTATGGCGCTTCATAAACACTATACCTAAACCCAAGAGCGTAACTTTGGGTTCAACATGCGTAAAGCTACATCTGTGCACCAAGACCAACCAAGTCCCACATAGTAGGGGCGTGCAAAAACTTTTATTTGCTGCTTGATGTGTTGGCGGTGGTTACAATGCCTCATTCCCCTGTAAATAATGCCCATGCCTCATTGCTTGAAAGATCAGACTTACCACACATTTCTTGGTTTCTGCCTCTTTCTTGGCCTTAGCTTCAGCCTGTGACTTCTTAAAAGCCAAGAGGACTTCGCGACAGTCTTCCAAATGGGCCTCTGGTTCCCACGTGTCATCGTCAGAGCAGTAGTTCTTCCAGCGAACTCTGTACAGCACTTCACCCTGAGAACAAGAAAGCGAAGATGTAGCGCTTAGCATGACCTGCCCCACTGACCTGACCTGACAGTGAGATCACGAGCCAACAGGATCTATAGAAAACAGAAGACTTCCACATGACAGCTGAGACAAGCAAACACGGCTGACAGGCCCTGTTAGTTAGTTAGTGTTAATTATGGTATTTTGAATGATGCTGTCTGTCTTTAAAGTTCTAATATCAAAAGGTTTACTGAGGAGACACAGGCAAAACATTTAAAGTTGCAGTGAGAACTTGCTGAAAGAAAGTGTGCAAAACAAAAAGTGTAAGAGTTGTAAAAAACTGTTTCACAGATGACTTTTGTGTATTAAGAGTGACTGAACGTGAGCAAGAGAGATGCAAAATCCTGTAAAAAGCAGAGGACGGTGTGAATATTTTCAATCTTTCCAGGGAGATGTTGACAGCGCTGCATCAGACTGTACACATATGAAGTTAAAGCATCTAAAAGGTGCAGAAGCTCCCACTGGGCACTCCGCACTGCTCAGAAGGACCACAGCTTAACTTCCTGTGCATGTGTTTACTTCGCAGGTGGTACAGCCCAGAGAGACTCCAGAGTTCACAACGGCAAAAAGTGTAAAAAGCAAGGTGTTGAAAATATCTTAGTAGAGATAGTATTACCTCCAATTCTACCTCAACAATCAATGTGCACATCACAGAATTTGATTCACGAGCTCAACTGGTCAGCAATCAAGCCTGTACTGTCTCGCTGCTCTACTATGAATATTGATTTCTCCCTTCTTTTGGTGCTATTCAACCAAATTCACTTATAGCTGTCTTTAAAAAGAGTGCAATTTAACCTTTGTAACGAGACCTGATACTCAAAGGAACCCCCCCACCCAAAGTTAATACCACGGACATTACATGTGCTTCACGGCAATCTTAAAAAGAAAAGGTAAAAGCAAGAAAGATAGCAAATGTAGCTAATGTTAGCTGCTGGGGTCATCTGTGTTTATGCACGGGTCTAAAGCATGTTTGTCCGCTACTTTATACAGTTAGAAATGCAGCGGTCACAGGGCTCACCCATTATTACCTGGTATAAGTAAATTCAGTGTTAACAAACAGCAAATCCCACCAATCTTCTCACACGCTGCGAGTCCTGCATTATTCGGGGATTTAGCCGATGCAGCGCTGCAGCTAGCAAAATACGATGAAAATATGTGAAAGCCTGCAACGGGTCCGTCCTTGGCCTCAGCAGGGGAGAGCCGAGCGGACATCATGGGACAAGTTGTGCTTGGAAAAGATGCTATGTATGGAGGAACAGCGACCCACGACTAAAACCAGAAAACGCATGTAACAAAGTAACACACAAGCAATTTTGTGCATGTAAATGCACCGCAGAAACGCGATTCTGCTAACACAAAGGGTCTTTCCACCGTTGTTGGTGGGCTATGCCTCGTGAAAGTGGACTGAAAGAAATGCCAGCCATGTTTGCAAAGCTAGCCAGGCGGCTACGTAGCACTTAGCTATTTTTACCTCTTCCACCCGCATGTCAATGATCTTTTCCACTTCGTACACGTCTTCTTCCTCATCTTGTTCGCTGTCCGCGGGCTCTACCTTGTCGGTTTCAGCCGCCATGGCTGTGTGGTAGTGTTGGTTTCCTAAAATCTGCCTGTTTTGGGTTTTGCACTCGAAAAGGCCGCCGTGTTGACAGAGGTAGGACGCTGCCGTACCTAGTGGTACTACAGACTGCACTAGCTCTGCAGCTCTGAGAGGGCTGCGCTGAACGCAGGGCAGTTACCGCCCGCAGTCACGAGAGGCGTTCAAATGCTGCTCTTAATCGTCGAACGTATCACTCCAAAATAGTATTTACAAAAAAAAAACATTTTATTTTTGCTGATGTACTAAAAAAAGGCGATTTGGCGATAATTAATTTTAATCGAAACAATATATTACGCTATAATACGCTAAAGTGATTTAAAACCAACAAACAACTATTTCATTGCTTTCCATAACTTCTGACTTTTATGCCCTGCTACAAGTTTAAAGAATAACAATAATTTTAACAACATATATATTTTTAAATTTTCTCTTTATTGTTCTGTTATTTCGGGCGATGACGCCCAAAAGTTCGAAATGTACTAAAGGCATCAAAAATCAGTGATTTGCGAGCGTTGAAAACACGTTGCCTGGTGAAAACAGACCGTCTGCTAACTGATTATACATATTTAAATATAGCACACGTCTTCCTGCACAGAACAAAACAAAAAACACGTCATCCACTCGTGTTTTTAGTCTTCAATGTATAATATTTTAATAATCACAAGTGCAATATTGAAATGCCTTAAAAGCCACAATATTAGCAACATGTTTTTCAACTGAGTAAACTTTAAGCAGCTTTAGAAAATTAAATAATCGTTTCAGTTTACTGCCTAAAACAGAAGTCACTTCTAATAACTTTAATCACCTAAATTTATTGTAATATCACATCACAAACAACACAAATACAGCAATACTAGTATAAAATCATGATGATAATAGTATTATTATTAATAATAATAATAATAATAATGATATAATGTATTTCTTTATATAAGTATAAAGAAATAAATCAGGTGGAAGAAACAGAAGACCAAAAATACACGGAGGAAAATATTATGTAATTTTACAAAATATAGTAAGAAACCGTTTAAATGTATGTGTACACACATATGTTTCAAATACTGTCCAGCTGTGTGTCAGCTGTGGCATTTGACCATCTGTTTAAACAGTCCAAAAAAAAAGAAAAAAGAAAAGAAAAGAAAGAATACAAATAAAAACTAACAACCCCCCCCCCCAAACAAAAACAAACCCAAAAAAGAGTTTTAGAAAAAGCCCACATATTTTGTTTAGTGTAACTAATCTAAACATCTCAGTTATGGCTCAGTGTTTGGAGGAAAATTCTTAGCCTTGGTGTGACAAATAACATGGTACTTTTAAAGTAATGCATTACCCCATTGTTGTTGTTGTTGTTATTATTATTGTTATTTCAACATTTTCTAAAGTTACAACCTAATACATTCACACATGAATGCATGTCTGAATAGCTGTTGGTCAGCTGGTACAGCTCTTTATTCAGACTCCAAAAATGATCTTGAGATCTGCCAGAGAGAGTTTGGAGAGGGTGTTTCCGGTTCCCGACAGCACATTCTGTGCCAGCTCCTTCTTCTTTGTCTGCAGTGTGGAAATTTTCTCCTCCACTGTGTTTTCACACACAAACCTATTGACAATGCCACATAGACACACACACACACAAACTATTAGCACAAAGAAACGCAGTTTACACATCATTGTTACCATTACATGCTTAGTAAAACTTAAAAATAAAGATGCAAACTAGAAATTTTGTGGCGATTCAGTTAGAAGCTGATGCGTCACCTGTGGATGGTGACGTCTTTATATTGTCCCACTCTATAGATGCGGTCACAGGCCTGATCCTCCAAAGCTGGGTTCCTGTTGAAGGGTTAAAATTGAAACAACTTTCTTCTACCTTACAGAAATGTTTCTTAAGTTTGGAATAACATAATCTCTGCAAAACTGCAGAATGCATTGTGTGACGTCTGCACATGTTTGTTTATAACTGCCTTTAAATTGTCCTTTGCCATTCCTTATAATGCGAAATGTGAAGGCACAACATATTTTAGAGGATAAAAATTAAATCAGAGAGGATAAAATGTTGAAAAAAGTATTTGCACAACAGATATATTTCAAATGCAGCTTGCTACATTAAACGGCGAACGGCAAACAACAGAAGTGATACTTTTCCAGCTCTTTGAATGACAATGTGGCTCTCACCAGTGCATGTCAATGAGGAACAGGTGATTCCCACCGATCAGATTCAGTCCAACCCCCCCGGCACAAAGAGAAACCAGCATCACCTGAAGCAAAAACCAGAACAATTAGGCAGCACTATACATTTAGAGCTGTGCAACAAAACAGTCTGATTACACTCATTTTCATCATTATCACTTCAAGCTTAGTTCTCAGCTGCATAGCACACTTGGTATAATGATCACAGCTAATCTAGAAGTCCCATCATCATCATCATCATCATCATTATTACTATTATTATTTACATTTCAGTGTTGCAGCAATTTCTGTTTATAACATATTTAATTTATTGTTGTTTACTTTTTATTTAACTGCATTCTTCACAAATGGAGCAAACATTACAAAAACAGGAACAGTTGGCCTTACATTTATGCACAGATTATCAGTGCAAGTA